CCTGCGGGCTCGGTACCCCTCCGCCACCAGCCCCCCGGTACCGGGCTCCTCGAGTGCTCTTCCTTCGCCCTGCGCTTCAGTTAACAGTATATACATTTTATTTTCTTTTTCTCCCGATACGTGGTATTTTGTAGATTTTAATTGCGCGGTTAAGACGTCACCTTTTAGGAGGAATAAAGCCGTGGCGCTGCAGGGCTAGGCTGAAGCTAGGCAGGGAGTAAAAACCTGGGAGGCGCTTCCCGCCACACAACCGCCTGAAGTGGGCTACAAGGAAAGGTGTAGTCTAGACATATAGGACGATACTTCAAGCTTTTTTCATGCTTTCTCAAGGTGTCGCCCAGTTTCTGCTGTCCCCTGTATCGCTTGTAGGAAGTTCCAAAGGCATTTGCTGGAAGTACACCGTATTGCCTTGGAGTTTGCTTCAGTGATATTAGAAAACGGAATGAAGAAGCTTCTAAGAAGCCTGGGGAAAAAAAATAAAGATGTAATACTAAATAGACCCTAATCTTCCTAAATTGCATGGTGTGCTGGTATTTTGCGGAAATAGTTGTACGCGGTGAATGGGAGAAGATGGGAACACATCAGGGACTGTTAAACTTAGTTTTGCGTAGAGTCAAATGACTGAGAAAGCTGATGTTAATGAAAAAAAGAAAATTCTGAATGAACTGGCATGTTTCCTAACACCCAGAAGCTACCAGACTTAAGCTACTGTGAAATGTAGTATTTAGTAATAACACATACTCCAGGTTTCCAAATAAAGCTTTGCAGGCTGAATGCTGAGAAGAAAGTAAAAATACACATGGAGCTGGCTTTATATTTTGATTTTCAAATCCAGCAACACTTCTGTCATCTTTTATTTTGCAACAGTTCATAGTGCTACAATCATTCACCTGCTGGGGGCATTAGTGTAATTCTGAGAACCTGATTTTCAGCTTGGGTTGTTTGAACAGAACCGCATCTGTTCCCACAGACAATTCAGGGTGAAGCAAATCCTCTCTCAAGTTTTACCCTGATGGTAGAGTAGCTCAGCTTTTTTTCTAAATCTGTAGAGGTGTGCTAGTGCAACACTGTCATCACTTTGTAACAGAATTAGAAGGTTTGAAATACAACATTTTGAAGAGATAAACTGAAAGTATCTTCATTTTTAACAGAAATGGGCATTTGCAATTCTGTAACTTAAAACAGCTATCAACTAACATCACAGGTGGCTTATCGAGCATTTTGAAGGGGGGGAAGTTACTTTAAAGATTCTTTGCTACTTCTATAAATAAAAATTTCTCTAGTAAACTAGATCCAAATAGCTGACATATTTTCCTGCTAAGAATTTTTTTTTTCTGGCTGGTACACTATTTTGAGAAATTCAGTCACGAGCCGACTATTGATTCTTTTTCAGTCTATGTGGAATATCTGATTTGCATTCTTAGAAACATTTTAGAAAAGCTAGACTTACAGCTAGAAGAGGTTTACAGGCAAAAGAAGTGTTTGTGATTTCAGCTCCCCCCATTCAGAGATCAGCCGTTGCCAGCCACAGACTTAAAAATTCAATAGCCTCTGTGGAAAGAAGCATTGAATGTGACAAGGGTTTGACTGTTGTTCTCTTCACAGTATAGCCCAGACAACGTGCCTGGAGCAGACGGAGACATTGACCCTACCGAAATCACCTTTCCAGGATGTTCTTGTCTTACCAGCTCCTGCGTGGTTCACGTGTGCTCGTGCCTTTGCCGTGGTGAAAATTACAACAGTTTGTGCCTCAGGCCTACAGGCAAAGAGGAGGAGTACGCCAGGCCTGTTTTTGAATGCAATGCCCTGTGCCAGTGTGGTGAATCCTGTCAAAACAGGGTTGTTCAGAGGGGTTTGCAATTCAGACTCGAGGTATTCAAGACTGAGAAGAAAGGGTGGGGTCTTCGCACTCTGGAATTCATAGCTAAAGGAAGATTCGTTTGTGAATATGCTGGTGAAGTTTTAGGCTTTAATGAGGCACGTAGAAGAATTCAGGCCCAGACGTCAAAGGACTCGAACTATATTATAGTGGTGAGGGAGCACCTCCATAGCGGTCAGGTAATGGAGACCTTTGTTGACCCAACGTACATTGGTAACATAGGCAGATTCCTGAATCACTCTTGTGAACCAAATTTATTTATGGTGCCAGTTCGAGTTGACTCAATGGTGCCTAAACTGGCACTTTTTGCAGCTACTGATATTTCTCCTGGAGAGGAACTTTCATATGACTATTCTGGAAGATTCCATAATTTACCAGTAACTAGTAGAGAGCACAAATCTTCAGAGGAAGATAACGGATTAAGAAAACCTTGCTACTGTGGTTCCCCCACATGTGCGTCCTTCTTACCTTGGGACAGCTCCCTCTTTTCCACATCGGACACTGGTTCACGGAGCTCTCCATAGCTTTTCAGCCCCTAAGCATACCTAGCAAATACCATTTTCTCTAGCAGTTAAGTTGCAGTTAAAAAACCCTCTGATCTTGTATTCCACCAAGGAAGTACATGTGGGTTTGAGTAACAGCTAGAAGACAAGATTTTGAGAATAACTTCATGCAACATCCCAGAGACTGTTTTCAGGGTGGATGGTGTGATGTGAGGGAGCACTGGAGCTTCAAGATGTTCCAAAACCAGTTACTAAGCCAGGCCTGGTGGTTTTTTTCTTGATTTCTTCTGACAGCTTGCTGTATGATAAAGCACCTCTCTCAGTCTGTTCCTTTGAGAAGGAATGAACTTAAACATTGGTACACAGAAAGGACATGTGATAATGAGAAATGTCCCTGAAAATTACACAGCAGAAGGAGACTAAGGAATGTTGACATTTGCAAGAAGGGCATTAGGTTTCTTAAATTCCATTAAAATAATTTATTTTTTTAAAATTACTTGCTATAAATTTTTTGCTCCACAAAACATAAGTAATTATTACTGATGTAAAAAACATGCCCACAAAGATCAGCCTGAATGCTGTGTGTCCACCCCTGTTTTCCATTCCGTCACATCTACCTGCATGCCAAAATATGGTTTTAAGTGACTAGTTCAGCTTCATTGCCATTTAGCTTCTGTGTAAAAGGTGCAGTACTGCAGGCTCTGAGAAGTACAATCATCCTGTCTTTCTAAATCGCATCTATCGAGGCTCATCCAGTACGATCTCTGCAATAACAGCAAGCAGCATGTCCATGTTCCTTTCCAGCACTGTTATTGCACGCTCAGGAAGCAAATTCAGACTCTGCAGCCTAAACCAGTATGATGCTGCTATTCTGACTTCTGAAATGGATTAAAGTTGGAAACAGAAAAGTACATCTGAACAACAACAAATGTGTGGCTTTGTGTTGTGGAGCAGCTGGCAGATCTGCGAGCATTCCTTTCAGCTACTAACTGGTTTGTTTTCACTGTTCTTACAGAGCCAAAGTATTAAGCAAGGCCTGTCCTTTCCCAGCAGAGGGAGGAGGTTGTTGCCTCTTTTCATCCTTCTTGCACAGCTCTAACAAGCACATGCTGCCTTACCGAGCGTCTCCGTGCGCCAGGGGTACACGGGAGAGCTTACCAGGTAGATGGGGCGCGTTCTGCATCTGCATGTTACTTCACTTCCTTTCTAGAACGACCAAATTAAGGAAGCTTCGAACAGGCTTGTTTTGAATTTCCCCCGACTTTGATACACAAGACAGATAAACTTAACAGTGCTGCTTTTTACACTTGTGTCACGGTGCTCCAGCAGCAGCATAAACCCCTGGGTTATTTGCTCTCTACAGTTTGATCTTTTTAACTGTATTCACAAACTTTGACAAAACATACGCATACAAGGTAGCGCATCTCGGGGGGATCTGCTGTTCTGCAGGCCATCAGCAACTTTTTGGTTTTTTTAATAAAAAAAGACAGCTTTGATTTAGACCTGAAAGATTAACCTGATACTGACGAGGGATAAAGGATGTTTTGCTGCTCTTATTTTGCTATTTACTAAACAAAATCTTAGTGTTTACCTATGCTTCCTAGATAAACTTCAGTGTTAGCTTTTCCCCATTTCATATATACCTTCATGCTTCCATTATAAAGAACCACTGTTGAGATTTAATATGGCTGTGGTTTTAGTTTAAGATAAAGATTACCACGTGGTTCTTCAGGCTAATCATTAAGTGTCACTTCGGTCAATACAGAAAGTTTCCAAAGGATTTCAGCTGCTTGTCACAAGTAATTTACAAGCCGAGTGGCCATCAACTTTATCCCTTGCCCGATTAAGGGTGCCTGCTTCTACAGAAGTTATCCAGATCCCATAACGGGGAATGCACGCTGCGCGGGAGACCAGAGCACAGCTTAGGTTGCAAGGTCTCTCATCCTGCTCAGAGGCTTACCTGCTTTTCTTCCCCCAAAGGGCATGGTGCCAGCCACTTTTAGCCTGCAGGACTGGAGGGCTGGGAGCAGATGATCCAATCTCCTTCCTCTTTTCCTCTTGGAAAAAGTTTCAGGACTAGTTTTATTCCTAGCTGTATTCCTATTCCTCAAGATTAGATGGGTTTTCAAGATGACAGCGCTGTTTGCTGGCTTCCTGTTATGAATATGTACTTGGCGTGATTTTGAGTAGTTAAGGAAGTGTAGATTCAAAAAAAAAAAAACCCAAAAACAACAAACCCCAAAACACAAACCCCCAAACAGCATTAGCAATATCTAGTCCTTGCATCACCAGCCTTAAACCAGAGAACGCAGCCGAGCCTTCCGTCTCTGTTCAATCCTACCCTTTCAGTCCCAGCCAGCTGATGCCACTTCAAACAAGTGAAAGGAATATCAATTACCTGGTTAGAACAAACTTCCACCACACGAACAATGAGAGCGCGTTGTGCTGTTGCAAACAGCCAGACACATTAAAGGCCTTGCAAGAACACAAAATAATAGGTTGTCACCACGTTCTAAACCATGGTGGCAATTGTTAATGGTCTTGTTCCACGTAGCGTGTGCTTTATACTCTGCTGTGCCATAGCACTACAGCTGCCTGGGGGTGTGGAGCAAAATCCTACTAAAAAAAATTCCTCTTGCAAGGGACTATAAAAAGGAAAATAGACCCTTGTTTCTACCTGCTGCATTTCTCTTCACTTTTTCCTTCAGGTTCTTTTCAGCTTCAGAGTCCCAGGCTACCACTTCACAGTTCAGCATGCTCTTTCACAACGGATCCAAACGGCTCAAAAGACTGAGCTCGCTGGAATGCTCCCTCCTTCCTACTCTCTAAGTGCAGTAATGACTATCACTATTTCAGTATTCAATACTCACTCAAGCTTGGGGGTTTACTTTCACATTGAAATCTGATCAGATTAATTCAAGGATGTTTAATGAAAGATCTTGTAATAAAATGCAGCAACCATTACCCAGACAAAAGGGGTGTAGATGGGACATGTTCCCCCATCTCCACAGAAGACCAGGAAGGCTTTCGTCCACGTGCCACCCGCAGCACAAGGAGTATTGACTGACATACACCTGATGGTGAGCCATCATGAAGCTGTTTATTTAAATAAAGTCATAAGAATTTTCCCATGTATAGAATTGTGCACGTATTTTTATCAGGTATTGTTTCCAGAATAAAAACCAAAACCAGGTCTAGGCAAAGCCTTTTATAAAGGCTATTCCTTCTTGTGGCAGAAGGATAGAAACAGATAAGATCTTTTCCCATTACTCTTAGTAAAGTAGGTATTTTTAATGCATAGATTTTAATGAAACATTTAATGCTGGTAAGGCAGTCGTTACTACACAAAATATTTACCTACCACAGCTTTTATCATGCTTATGTGAGCACCAAGTCATAGTGGTGTGTTCTGGAACCATTTTTTGCTGGCTAGAATTACCCTCTACCCCCACTGCGTGCTGGGTGTTGAAGGGCACCTCAGATCTTCTCCCGTATCTTCCTTTCAACATGAAACACTTGAGTGGAGAAGGAGCTGGCAAGTGAAGGATTTGCATTAACCCCAAACCTGCCTTACTGCAGAAAAGACAATGCTGGGAAAGACCAGCATCGTTGCAAAAATGTGTTAATCTGCCACATTTTTCACCACTGGGTCCCAGAGCAGCTGACGAGACGGCCAGGTTCAGTCCCCGCTCTACACACAGGCAGCCGAGAGGCCTGGTGGAGGGCAGCGACAGGCGCCGAAGGGCGGCCCTTCTGGAGCGGAGCTCGCTGCAGAGGCCGTGCTTGTTTTCTTGTTCCACCTCCACTTGGAGCAAGCAGTTGCCTGGCACAGAAGTAAGAGCAGATACCAGAAAGGCCTGGAATTCAGATCCCAAAATGAGGTAGCTCTTGTCATTCCCATTTCCCTTCTTCCTAGCTAAAATTCCTCTCCTTTTAAATGGTATTTTTTAAGGTTTGTTTTTTTTTTTTAATAAAACAACAGTTTCAAAATTTACCTTGTTAGGCATTAGGGCTCACCGTTACATCTGCCATCTTTTCACTTTAATGATCTCTTACTCACGTGGAATCATTTGTTAGCCTCAGTTTCTAATGATGCCATTTGTGCAATTTGCAAGTCCCCCAAATCAGCCTACACCATGTCCAAGAGAAATTCAAAGGAAATTGCCAGTGGTTTTCCATCAATAAAGGTCTTCAGCATACAGAAATGCTTGAAATTTTATTCAAATATGTACATCGTCTCTAATCATCACCACCCTGAGGATTATTGCCCCTCAGTTGCAGAAGGCACTTTGTAAAGAGAAGCAAGTATCTCACCAGAAAAAGCACATTTCCAGACCCAATTTTCACTGCAACAGGAACATAACACAAGGGCTGCACTAACTGCCTGTGTCGATAGCCGTCTGCCTGCCGGTCTTCGCCTCTTCTTTACTCCTTCAATTTGCTTTTAAAGCTGTCTAGAATTTCACTGCTTCAAATCTCTTTTAAAGCTGCCCAGAAGTTTATAAAGTCCTTGCTTATTGGATTTGACTGTAGAAATTTAATCTATACATAAATAAAACTAATAAAGATTTTTTCCTAACAGAGGTATTGAGCTTTTAAAACACAATAGTCATCTTTCTGCTCCGTTTTGTGCTAGTTAACTCCAGAATACTCGCTAAAACCAACGGAATTCACCGATAAAAAGTTTGGTCAGGATAGAAGTCCAAGGCCAGCTTCCCCAAAGCAACGTTCTTCAAGCAACATTGGATCTTTTTCCCCCAGCAGGAAGTTTAAGCCCTAGATTTTTCTATTCTGTCTCATCAGCAAGTGACACTTCCACACATCTCTTCTTCCCTGGGTGAAATTTAGTCCTTCAGGTCTCGGTGCGACAGCCCACTTGGTCACGGCAGCTCCGGCAAGGTGTCTGCTGCACAGCGGAAGCCCAGGTTGGAAGCAGAGCTGTCGGGAGTGTTTTGGCTCCGGGCTGCACAGCGATACCTGTAGCAGTAGGACTGGAGAGTGAGGCAGGGGAAGGAAATAAAAAAAACCAAAAACTTTAGAGGATAATCACAGCTTGTGCTTCCTTAGGCAAGGGTTTGTTAAGTTAATATAGCAAAACATTTTCAGCGCTGCTGGAAAGATCAATGGCCCAATACAGATCAAAATCACTGTGTCAGAAATAAGGGAAATCCCACTGTATACAGAGACCAGCGGCAGCGGATGCAAGAGGGAATTGGAATGGTAAAGTGTCCGGTAACACGAGTGCCGACTAATAATATAACCTGCTCCTGGAAAAAGCTAAAGTGACCATTCTGCTGCTCCTCGGGGGAAAAGAAAGCATCTCGGTGCCTCGATCTGTGTATCAGCGTGCAAGGGATGACTGGAGATGGACAGGTACTGGCACTCGTCAAAAACCATTTCACTGAGTGAGATGCATCAAGAAGAAAGGAATAACTGGAGGCAAACTCTGTCCCAGTATTCCTGTGGCTAGCATTGTAGGGGTATTAATAATCAAGATATAATCTTGACTGGTGGCTATAAAAACATTTACATTTAAAATTAAGCCATTGATAAAATTATTCCCTTGCTTTTCAGGTATTCCTAGTAGACAACTCCGAACACTGTCCTCTTCCAGAATGGGCTGCAACCACACAGCAGCTGCCTCTCAGAAAAACAAAAGGAGGAACCATCGTGGCCATTTCATTAAGTGAGAAAGGGACATGAGATCCCTTCACAGGACTCATCCTCACACCCATCAGACTCATCCAGTTGTGCCGCTGGGAAATCTCTCTGCGCTTTCAATTCCCAGCGTTGTTTGTCTTGTGCTCGTAGGATTTAATATTCAATAGACCATTTAGATCAAAAATGTCATCTTAAAAGACTCAGAAGAGGACTGCTGCAGGATGCTTTGTAGGAGGTATTTTGAGAAAGCCTGCTCACTTACACACAACCAAATGCATCTAAACAGGACCGGGGCAGACACCTTTACAGCAGGGCACAGGCACTGCTCTGTAGCGTGTTTTGCACGCTGCCTGGCTATATGGATTTGGCCATGTCTCAGTGCACGCTAATATACTTAAACTCCTTGGAAAAAGGAAAACCTGTGCTATTCCTGGTGCTACAGATTCTCAATTATCTGACATCAGGAACAGTGGTTTCCAAACTGCAGAACTAACCTATTTAAGCTCTTTGCTACACGAAGTTAGGCTGCCCAGCAGCAGTGAGCCATCACAGCACAGAAGGGGAACAGCCACACTGGTAATTTTGCTAATCAAGTGCTGGGGCAGCAGACCGTGCGTTTATGTAGCAGCTCCAGTACATTCCATCCAAGTTCTGCCCCATTTTGCTGTTACTTCATAAGGTCTGGCTCTGGGCTTTTGCTCCTAGACTCCCGCTACAGGCTCCTGGCCTCTGACAAAAAAAAAAAAAAAAAAAAAAAAAAAATCACTACTTTCATTCCAGCTGGTTCAGCTACAGGTAGTCAGGCTCCGAACCAGACTGGTGGAATGGTTGGGTTAAAAAGGAAACACTTTCTTTCTCTCCCCCCCCCCCCCCCCTTTTTTTTTTGGAGAATGGCAGAGGAGAGCAGGGAGGAGAGGGCAGTTTTTCTCCTTGAAACCCAGATCCCTTCAGGAGTTTGGGCGCAGCGACTGAACAGTTCAGTGTGAGTGACCGCGAGGGCGGTGGCAACTTTAGGGCTCTGTCACCAGGGGATGAGCCACCCCCGCAGAGGCAGCAGGTCACTGATGCCCATCTCCACCTACAGAGATCCAACCCACAGCTCCTCACCAGAGCCAAGAGCAGCTGCTGCTATCGCACGGCAGGGGTCTACCCTAAACCTCAACAATAAGATTTAGAGGCTGAACTGTTTTAAAAATAAAGGTAGCTGCTAGGTGTACATGTAAAAAGGTGCAACCTTTAGCTTTTGTCAGCTGGGAGGAGCAGAACAGCAGGAGAATGGATTAGGCTGAATAAAATTTTAGGCACCTAATCAAGCCCTTGTACTGAGAGTATTCAGTGGGGGTTTTTGTCTTGATGCGCAGCCTAGTTTTATCACCTACAAAAGAGGCTAGGACAGACCAGAATCTTCACAAGTCTTTAAAATGGGTCACATTATTCATCACTGCAGAGTCTATTCCAGTGTTAATTTAATCAAAACTGCTAATTAACATCTGACATTGATTTCACCTAAGGAGGAAATCAGTGTAGAAAATGGGATCTCACTGTAGAAAGTTTAATCTAATTATGAGACTGATTTGCCAGCTGCAGGCTTTGAAAGAACAGGACAGCTTTAATGAAAAAGGAGATCTACCATGAGCATTTTTTCCAGCGTGGCACGAACAGAGTTTAAAACATGATTTGTGTGCTGAACAGCTATTGCATTGCGGTGGTAACTGGACTTTTCAGAAAGAATTTCAAGTCTGCTCTCAACTAAGCTGAAACATTCATCTCCCAGCAATCTTTCTGCAAACACCTGGTATCCTTTCTGGATCAAGGGTCATTTTTTAGAATGAAAAAAGTCACTTCCATACTCGCCAACTCTTGCAAGCATCCCTCAAGCACTGTAATGAAAAGAGCATTCGAGGCATACATCAGTTTTAACTTCTACATCTAAACCAAAACACACTGGGTAAAGCAGTTTGTTTTCATTCCAAGCTCATCAAAAAGAATTCCTAAGACCATTAGGTATTGCTCTTCTCTAAATTGCATTAAGCCCCTTAACAAGCACCCAGGCTGCCAGGAAACTCTGTCAGGAGATCGTTTCATTGTCGAGTGAGGAGCTTTCAGAGGAAAGATCAGTATGAAAATAGCAGAGGCCCTCTCGCATTACCTTATGGCACATATAGGATCCACCCTTCTTCACTCTGTCCGTCCCCGATGGGGGCCCTTTCTGGGGAGGAGAGGACACTGGTTAGCAATCAGGGAAGAGCACTGGCCAGTTACAGCATAAAGGTAAAAAGCTGTAAGAACAGGGAGACGGGGAAGGAGCAACCATAAATATTCAAAGTAAAGAAACTTCAGCTGCGCCTGTCTGAACCAGACAGCTTAAAATAATTATGTTGTAAAAGACTTGCAGACAGGCAAGAGTAATTGTTCTCCCTCCCTGCTGCTGCAAATACTTCCCACTGGAGCTGCTGCCCACTGGCCGAGAGTGCCTCCTGCTTTGCTCCTGTGGAGCGCCTGATGCCGTGCTGTGAAAAGCACAGCGGCAGTCAGGAGTGAGTACTGACCTTTGAAAACGGGTACGTTTCTGTAATTTCAAACTTTTCCTAATGAGGACTTAGGAAGTTTTCACACATGCAGCGAAATCTGCGATTCTCATCCGTTCCACTGCTATGAAACAACCCCATGAAAAGCCCTGAGCCTCAGAAGGAACACCGAGAACTTCCACTGTTCTAAATGCAGTTGCACTGTTTGGTGGCAGGCTGAGATCAGGGGCTGCAGTGCCCCAACTTTGGTGCTTATTCTCTTCCCAGTCCAAAATCAAGTCTGAAATGCAGGTTAGTGAAATAACCTTGTTATTTATCCATATATATATATATTCAGCAAGACAGTCTGTATCCCCTCCCCGTCACTACGTACTAAACATGGTATTCTGTGGGATCGTGACAGCTAAAGAGCCCCGCAGAAAGCACTGCACTTGGGAGCACCAATTTTGTACTTGTGTGTACCTTTACGGCGTAATGCATGTGATTTATTTGAAGTGCTTATGAAATTGGCCCTACAATTGATTTAATGAGGTTATTTCTCCCTTCTTTTTCAATTCCAGCTCCAAAGGATGGCCTAATAGTTCAAGGAGAAAGCTGGCCTTCCTTGATAACACACTGTTGCTTGCTTTGATGCATATTTATTACGCAGGTGAGCAATTCTCCCACTTCATCCCTTGTAGCTGTGAAAGTTACTGCTGCACTCATCCAGTACTTGGAGATTGCCATGAGACTTCACCTTCCCCCTGCTGACACCAGGCATTCTTACACACTTGCTGCACTCCACGTGCATCGAGAGACTACTCTTAGGAAGGAGCCACAAGAATATCTGTCTTCTAGAAGTGACAAACAAGAGCAAGAAGGTAAGTTGTGCTTTATTAGTTAACTGGCAAGCCTAGCCCAGGGGTTAGCACTGCCACTAAGAACCTCTCCAAGCTGTAAGACCTGCTGTATTCCTATTCCCGTACGGGTGACTGTAGCACGCAACAAAAACATTTTCTTATCATGTACGAGCCTCTAATAAAGAATTTTTCACCTAACTCTAGGTACAAGCTGTTGTTTCTTCACTGGTTGGTAGGGTATATAAATCAAGTCTGTATTTCTAGACAAAACCTTATCAGAAGAATTTGTGGAATAAATGAAGAAAAGAAGAAGCCATGATGTTCTCCAAATCCCTGCATTTTCTGCTAAGACTGTTCCCTTTACCAATTAATATAGGTTTCAAGAAAGTCATCAGCCCAGGTTTTAGCAGGTAGGAAAAAAGAATTCATTGCTCCAGAGTAGGTAAATGATACAAAACAGTACCATAAAAGAGTACCATAATGGGTTGAAAACAGACAACTGCTGAAAAAAATTCTGGCAATTATTCTGTCTCCTCCTGTCCGGCAGCCAGCCATTTACCCTGGAAGTGCCTGGAGGGTGCCGTGTTTCCTGCAGAGCCTCAGGGACACCACCTTCACCCATACAAGTGCAGGGACTAAAGAAAAGTGTCACTTTGGTAGCATCTCCTGAACCCAGGAATAATTTCCCTTTAAGAAGCAGGTTCCTGAGGAGGGGATTTCGCAGGGAATGACACCACTCCGGCTCTCCTCAGTGTCCCCTGATTTGACCAGCTGGGTTGCACCTGGTCACCGCGCTGTCCTGCGCCGTATCAGGGCATATCATCGTCCCACCCAGCTCCTGCATTACCCGCGATGTTGATTCTTCTCGAGCTTCACAAGGCAATTGGAACACTGAATATAAATCCTGGGGACTGTAAGAGAACCCTGAAAGTTGATGCCGGTGCTACAGAAGCTTTGAGAGCCTTTGTACCAAAAGCTTACTGTACTGAAACTTCAGCACTTTCACATTTATTGAAAAGTTTTATATATGAGCTAGGCAAAAAGACCAAAAAAAAAGAAAGAGTTGGCCTACTGCTGCGTTTAATACCCTACAAATACTCAAGGAAAACCGCACCCACAGGCAGTGTCCGCTCATTTCCGAGTCAGGGTGCTCCTCCACAGACAGGCTTGCTCCGTTCCAAGGCCCCTGGAAACCATCTTCACAAGACTTGCATGTAGAAGCACAGAGCCCCACTCCAAGCTAAGCCACTAACAAGCACAATCAACTCAAGGGCCTGTTAATCTCATTTTAAGGGAAGCTGGGGCAGAGCCAGCCAGAATAAAACTGACCTAAAAAAAAAAAAGCAACACAAGAACGAGACAAAACAGGGAACAATGGGGCTGTCGAGCAGGATTTCCCATTAAAACGGTAATGCAAATGCAGGGCAGCGACCTTGGCTATTGGCTCCAAAGTAGCTTCTACAGACGAAGAGGAGCACGCTAATTCAGCTTTAGGAGGTTTATTGCCCAGCTGCAAGACTACTGTGTGCTATCCCCGTAGAATTGCTGAAGCACAGACTGAAGCAGCACGTGAACCAAAGGAAGTGGCAACTGCATAAGCTCTTTTTATTAATTACAAATATCTTCTGCCAGGCAAAAATTGAGCATCAAGAGGGATTTGGTAACAAACACCCAAGTTAAATTGCATGGCCCCAGCCTCTGAAGCAGGATTACAGCACTGAAACACTTTACCACCTGCACAAATCTGATCTAGTATGCTCCAATAATCTGTTCCATTAGAAAACATTACCCTCTCGATCGGCGATTCTTTCAAATCACTGAAGGTAAAGAGCTTATCATAAAACAACTGGCAAAGTTCTTGGAAAAGCAGAAAATCCCTGGACATTAGTTGGAGAAACAATCACTGCCTGTTTGACAACTGCCCACAGGCTACGTTTAATTCTCTTGCTGTTGATATCTCCCTGTCTTGCTCTGCAGTTTAGCAAAGGGAAAGCTAAAAGCGGGTTGGGATCACCAGATTTCCCTATAGTCGTATCCAGCTGCTTACATCTGTACGAAATCAAACGTGCAAGAGGCTGCATGCAAGAGACCAACCAGGCTGATACCTGTCTCAGCTCGTGACTGCATCAAATCAAATTAAGGGAGGTTAAAAGAGCCGCAGATCCTCTGAGGTAGGGCACAGTGAATTCAGTTCTCCTTCCTCATGTTAAAAACCCAGCTAACAAACCCTCCTCATCTGAAGGCTACTGTGGAGTTAAAACTAGAACCGCAACGTTGGACACGGCAGGCAGCCATTATGCTTTCATTCATACGTAGCTCAGCTTCTCTGTAAGTGGAACCACGTATCACCAAGGTCCCCAAAGCCATGTGAGCTGATCTGGAACCAACCAAACCTAAGTGAAAAAAAGATATCCTATTCCGGACCGATGAGCATCCCCATTTACATTTTTCTGTATCACACGTTTGTCTACCCAAGGAGAGCGTGGTGTTGGCATCAAGCATGGCACTTCCCTTTGCTAAGGGTTTGCTTTTGCATCCTGAGCAAGCCCCCTCCTTAGTGCTACAGACTGAGGGCTTCCAAGCCCCCCGACTGAGGACTTCCAAGCCCCCCCAAGGGATCTGTCAGCAGCCCAGGGCCACATGTGCGTTCCTTTGCTTCGGGAGCCCTTTACTGCAGCTCCCAGTAAGTTCACAGCTTGGCCACCATGGTAAAGCTCAGGGCAAGCAGCTGCCCTTCCCCTGTACTGCCTCATGTCTTACGCCCATATTCCTTCCTCTACCCCGGCCTTACTGAAGAAGCCCCTGGACTCTATTTTCTTAGCATACAACGTTGAATGATTTTTGGCTGCAGCTCCTTGGTCTACCTATAACGTGAACCATCTCTGTTACCCAAACCAAAGACCCTTCATCTCAGTTTGCAGCCAGGACTGGAAGAAGCCGAGTCCCTACAGACAAACTGGAATAAGAGATTTCAATTTCTTAAAAGATGTCAAGAGCTAGATGTCCTTACCAGTGACACACTGCTGCTGACACTGTACACGAGCGTTCCACACATGTCCTTTCTTTGGGTGGTCTTTCTCCTACCTACAGCACTGCAAGTTTCTCTTGTTTTACAAATAACATTAGCAGTCCTTACACCTGCAGATGCAGAAATGTAAACTCATTTCTGTCCGAGCACTGGCTGCATAGAGAATATTGAAAAAAACAAAACAGCCAAACCCCCGAAATGTCACTGCTTTGTCTTCCACAGAACTACAGGTACGGTACCCTGAAACGCCAAGGCCCCCAGTCAATAGCTTTGCTAGAATGACGCATGCATTTAACATACTTGGCAAGGGAAGAGCCTACAAACACTGCCTAGCTTTGCCCAGACAGCGTTACAGCTCACTAGCACGTATTTCTTACAATTAGAACCAGGAGAGAGCCTGCAGTGTTAGTATTTGCTCACACTTGGATCTTCCTTATCGATAAAGCAAACATGCTTTGATTGTGCTTACCCATAATAAAAACTAATCAGAGCATGGCCATTAAGGTCACATTTGATTAAAACAAACAAGTTTTTGTTCCATCAAACAATATTGGTTTATGCTGTTACCTGGAGAAGCCACCTGGTACTGGAGGGGAAGGACATTTGCTGCCCGTATGTTGAGAGCCAGAGCTGTCCAGACTTTGATCCCAGATTTAAACAACAGAGTTTACTGTACATTGGCAAGTTTATTTTGTAGTAAAACATTCTAACAGACATGTTGCAGTCTGATCGCATAATTACAAGTGCTTGTGCATTCAATTACCAAAGCTTAGAACCCCTTAACAAGTACCCCCAGGATGCACCATGTGTACTGGAAACCAGCCACGGTAGGTAACAGCCTGGATGTAGGGTGCCAAATGCCTGACAAAGTTCAGCTCAGAAAGGCTTTTAGTGGTTCGCAAAGGCAGAATAGAGACGGGAACCGTGCCGAGAGGTGAGGGCACTTAGGAGAGCAGGTCACCACTGAGAGACGCTATTGCACCCAAAAGTCAGAAAACTTAGAAGCGATTTCCATCTCCCTGTGTAAAAGTTTTCCCACAGACAGCTATGTTAGGTCTGGCTTACTCGGGATTCCGGAAAGAGGAGATTTCCACTGGGCTACCCTGCTGCACTACACAAATGTTACTGGCTTGGATGCTTCCCACTTTTTTCCTGGGAGAGCAGCAAGCCCGTTAGCTCACACGAAACGGAGGGACACCTCACTGTGTTCCAGATGAGAAGTAAGGTCTTTCACCACATACAATTTGTTACTTAAAACCTCTCCAAAAAAAAAAAAAATCCTGTTTACTTGCTTTCGCAGCTAGCCTCCGCGCAGCACCCTCCTCTCCCTGATCCCGTGGGCTTGCACAGCAGGGAGACCGCCGCTGGCTTCGGTCAAAACCCAACAGCGACACTTGCAGCTCACCCCACAGCCGGATGAGAAGTGGAATTCAATCTAAAGGCCGCTTGCTCCTTACGTTTTAAACAAGCCACTGCTACTTCACAAATAAGTGTCTGGACTAGAATAGCTGAGGAGACGTTCAGTTGTAGAAGTGCCTAATTAAATTCTTACAGAAAGGTCCATACAAGCAAATCTCCAGTGATACGAACGCTCTGCTCTTAGCAGTGACATCCCTCATGTACTGTGGTGCCTTTCACCAAGGGAAGGTCTGGCTGCAGCCCCAAGCCCCCACTATTGCCAAGAGCATCCAGCGTGCCTGGCGCTTCACAGCTTATTTCAAGGACGCGGTACCAAGCCCTGCATCCTATATACTCCGTGAGCTGCATATAAATCTTTCAAGTTTGCTTATTTGGCTTCAGTACTTACCTGCACAGGTCCTACACCTGGCAAGGGCGAGGAAGAACACTGTTTGTCCCACTGTTAGAGCATAATTTAAATCTAATACCTTAGAAAGTAGCAAACAACTTACAAAGCACTTTCAGGTGTCCCGGTTTATTTTTGCTCTTGTAAATATTTGTGAATGCAAGCCAATCAATTACAGAAAAAAAAAAAAAGAATGTGTGCAAAATTCCATACATCCCTTGTAACCAATCCACAGCACCCCCAAAGTCTCTCTGGTACTAGAAAACTGCTTTGAAGATTTCAGATGTTAAGCTAAATAAGTTAAAAAACTTGCACTAAGCTCTGACCCTCTAGAAGAATTCCTGGTCTTCCAGGCAGAAAGAGCACATCCTATATATAGGTTACGCTGACTTGTACTCTGGAGAGACTGAGGAGATTGGCTCTGATAGATGTGGTGCTAATCATTTTTAATGTCTCAGAAGATACCGCAGCCTGGCTATTTCGGGACACCTTTTCACATTATGAGATTCAGTTTCTTTATCCGTTCAATCAGAAAAACCCTTTGGAATTCACTTTGAAGTGCTCTGCCTCAGCCACCAGATTCTGACAATTAGTTTCCAACTGCAAAAAAACCCCAAAAGCACCCTTGTTAAACAGCCAACTTGTACAAACTTTCTGAAGCATCTGCAAAATGTGCCGAATTTAAAAACCTAAGCAAACTCATAGCCACTTAACGGAGAGTGGGAGTCACAGGACATTTGTTGCTCACCATCGCCGTGACTCAACCCCCAAGCACGGCTGCATTGACATTACAAACGCAGAAGTGGCTCGTTTCAGTAGGTCAGTCTAATGAAGGGGCACCACTGCAACAGTTCAGAAAAAGATTCCTCCCCCCCAAGCACCATACCAGAGCAGCTGTAGTTCAGCAAACCCAATTCTAACTAGCTGGGTTTTGTGCAACGTGGACAAGTTGGGAAGGCAGAGAAATCTATTTGTCTTCATAAAACAAAAGAAGATGAAGTGAACCACCACCAATGGCAGGGAATGCATTAGCTGAGAGCTACCGTTTGGATGAAGACTCCTGGAGGTTCCTCCCATTACCACCACAGTAACTCCCACAGAAATTAGTTGTTTCGTGCCTTCCACCTACAAAAGCCATCTTACATGCAAAAAAGCTTTAAGACTTTACCAGCAATGACATAGAGCCTTTGAGAGAGATTTGTTTAAACAAATAATGCACACTACCTTACGCTAGCCTACAGCCAAAACCAAACACTCTAGAACACACCTAGGTGCACCAGACCCAAGGTATAGAAGTTCTATATATACACAGCATCCAAAGTGGTTTTATTCTCCAGCCTCGGCCTAGGTGCTCTATTTTTTGCTCCCCAGTGTTGCCACTTCTTGCTAGGCAAGGCGACTTCTAGAGAGCTGTGAGCTTCTCCCTGCCCCGAGAGGTCACCATACAAACAAGCGGCCAAAACTGAAGTAGGTGCCAGACTGAGAAAGAGGGAAGACCACCGGGGACAGTTGTGACACTCTAGGAACTGCCAGCCTTGCGTTCCTTCCCAGGGAGACAGACGCCGTTTGCCTCCGAAGGGCTGTGGGTGGGCAAGGGGTCCTTCCCCGCCCCAATCAAGGCAGCGGATGCAGGTCACGGCGCGCCGGTTCCAGGCACTGAGGTGGAGCCCCAGCACCCAGAGGGTAAAGCAGAAGTTTCCTGGTACAAACACAGTCTGGAATGGGGAGCTCAGCCTTGCCCACTCTCCTGCCCCTACCCTGACTTACCAGGCTCCAACCAAACCAACGCTCACCTGCTCTGACACGGGACAGTTTGTTAGTTTTATTGTTCTTCACTTTCACCCAAACTCACAGTCTGCTAGCTACTCAGCACCTCAGCTTGAGAAATGCTGCTCTCAAACTGGCCTTGTTTCCATTCATAAGGTACAAAAAAAAAAAAAAATTGTTCCTTAGTCACGTATAAAACGCCCACCAGAATGGAAACAGAGCTGCAAGACAGCAGATGTTTCTTTCCTAATCGATCAGTACGGAAACTAAATTCTAAAGACTCAGTCTGAACGCTAAGCTTAAATTCTATATAAGTTTCAGCTGTACACGCATGCGAGCCACGAGTCGATGCTGGAGACAGACAGGTACGTTTATACATTCAAGAGACAACTCATGCACTACAGCTTTCCATTACTGCTGAATTACAGAAACCAGCAGAAAACTTTGCCTACTGCGAACTACTCAAATCGCATCACATGAATTTGTGCGGTACGTGAGAGAGGTAGTAGCTGGAGATACAACGTGGCCAAGGTCCCAGAGGAAGAGGAGGTTCTTTAGCCATTGCTAGGCCACTAAAACTGCCTACCCACAAAAATTAGAGAATAGTTCATCCTATTTTAAATGAAGCAAGAAAAAAGCTGCAGTCCCAAGCATTTCAGTTACCTGCGAGGGTGTACGCAGCGCACTGCCCGACACAGCCAAAGTCGCTAGGGAGACCTGTGATATCTTACTGGGATACAGGGAACTTGGAACGGGGCAGTGTGACTGGTACAGGTTAAGAGGCCTCCAGATGCTCCACCAGTGTGATGGAACTGCTCGTACAGATCTAGAGCAATCAGACCCCAAGATGAGTCCGACTGCTCTTGCTAGACACATCCTCCTGGAAGAACAGCAGAACATCAACCTCTGCAATGTGCAGAACACCAAAAAAGTTTACCAAGTTCCTCAAGCTACTTCCCAGAAAGGCCTCCAATTACATCTGGCACGCCAAAGACAGACTGCACGTATCAAAAGGCACCACAGCACGGGGATACTCAAATCCTGCAAACAGAGAGCTCCTGCTCCGTGGGGTTTAATTGATTTTCTGATTACAGATAAATGTGTCTGAACAAAACAGGCTCTGTGAGAGCAGAGCAGTGCATTTCTCAGGTTTAGCCACCCTGGATAAATGAGAGAGGAGATGTAACACTAGAACATGAATCTGCTGAGATACTGCACAAGAAGCCCCACATACAGAGCTTACCCTGCAGGACCTCTTTCTCTGCCTGCCACAAAGAAAACCAAAAATTAACCTCTCAAAGCCTGGTAAGCTACTTCTCCCCATAAACTTCAGCTTTATTACATGTTGAGTTTTAAACAAGCTAGAAGAAGCTGTAAAGATAACTCATGATGGTTTGTTCTCTATCTGGGGGGAAAAAAATAGTACAGCTTGTAGCAACACCAAGAAAAAACCTTCCTATTTTTGAAAGTAATTCCACTGCATTGGCAAATTCTTGATTTATGTCATATGATGGCAGTTTGGAAGCATTCAGCTGCTACCCGGTTGTGGGGGCCTGTCCAACAAAAAAAAAAAAAAAAAAAAAAAAAAAAACCTAAAGCCTTGGGAATCCAGTGCATACAGGGGGCCTTTCCAACAAAAAAAAAAAAAAAAAAAAAAAATCACTACAGCATTGGAATTCCAGTGCTGATGGCTTGTGGTGTGATCCTTCCTAAATCACCAGAACACAGCCCATCCCACCCCAGAGAGAAGCAAAGAACAGGAGGTTTTCAACCAGTAACCAGATCAGAGTAGCCAGAGGGAATTCCTTACTTCATGCGATGCCAATAAAGTACTTACAGGGTTGTGAACTTCATCTGTTGAATGACGAACAGCCCACCAGTCAGACGTCCATTCCCAGGCATTTCCTACAATGTTGTACAAGCCATATCCATTGGGAGGAAACGCAGTGACCTAGACAAGATATGGGACCAAATGCCGGTTCTGTAAACCACTGGACATGAAATAAGGTTTTTAATCCTGAAGACCAGGCTGCTGAAGGGGCATTTGCCTTTACCAGGAGCTGCCGCCTTCATATCTCAAAAGCAGACACCAAATTAGTCGTGCAGAACTATAACACTTTTACATACTCCATTTAAATAAAACAGAATGAAAGAATGAACTGTTATCATCCTCTATGTTCTCAGCACCACATTTCCACTATGGCACATAGCGTCTTCACGTCGGTTTTGGAAACTGAGCCTCTAAAGAGAGGCCCTGTTTGACCAACACATAGACCTGCACATCGGATCAGTGATCCGACCTCCATGCCCATGCTTACAGCTTCCAGATTCCCCCTCCCATCAAAGAACAGCAAGGGTTGTCAACTCACGCATATACAGACTTCTCTACTGATGAAACTTTTTGGACTTACTTCAACTACCATTTGCTAATTCATTCACACTCTTGTTTGCCTTTAAAATTCCACTTCAGTGTTTGCCGCACTAGACAGACTCAACCTTTCCAGAAAGGGAAGTTTCATTTCTTCTAAACTATTGCATGATTTTTGTGCCTCAGAAACAACTACCCAAAAAGTGAGAGTTGAAGAGACTGCAATGTCAAAAGTGCAGGCAGAAAGTATTTCAGCATCTGACTAGAAGCTGACTGGAAAGGGGGAGAAGAGGTCAGTTCAAGAGGAACTGAAAGCTGAAATGAAAGTAATCTTTACTTTTCAATTCGTTTTTAGAAAGCGTCCCTTTAATCCTCAGGCCTGCAGTGAAATATACGGTAAGCTTACAAATCTAAAGGCGAAAGGGCGCAGGAATGGAAAACAGCCACGGTTCATTGTGTTGAACACAGACCTCCATTTTAGGAAGATGAAGGTCATTTCCATGCAATTAATTCACCGTGAGACACTTACAGGCGCAGTTCCTTTGTATCCATCTTCTGCAGTGTTATTCGTTGGGAACACTCCCTGCCAGATATTGGCATAATGTTGACCTTTTGGCTGAAGCTTGTTGCCCCAGGGGAAAAGCCTATCCAAAGACATACAAGAAGGACAGTGGTCAAACACTTTTCTTTTTTAATAAAAAAATGAGACACACCGCACAGGCACCTTCCTCCCCACCTTACCCTGGAGAACTGTTTGCATTCCAGTTCTGTTTGTACCAACTTCTAGCAGGTTTTCAAGGAGAGCTAAGGGTTCTACGAGGACAATTCCCAAATGGAGGAGGGAAAGGCAGCACTTGCACTGCCCGGTGCAGCGAGCAGTCCAGGACACAAGATGGAGAAGACAAAGCTGTTAATTCACCTGGTCTTCCCCTCCCCCCTGAGCCCACAGTCGGATAAGGGGCAGATCCAGTGGCCCTACAATTGCTGCACAGCGACGTAGTTATTTACTTCTCGAGCTCTTTTGCAACTCTTTTGGCCCTGGCACTAAGGTTCTTCACTACACCTCTCCTCTCCTGCAATAGCAGCAGCCCTGTGTCCTGGCATTTTGTCATATCTCCTCCTCTTGGGCTCTCTGCATTCTCCTCCCATTATAGAGTTCAGATTACAATACACCAGTTAGTTATTTAGGGAAATTCACTTACCTAAAGGAATCTGTTCAGAGTAAGTCAGTGTTAGATCTACCACAGATGTGCACACCACACAGGAAAGACATCAAGGGTAATGAAAACCCACACAACTCTTCCCTAGCTTGTAAATACCAGGTTTAAACATTTATCAGGGACACATTTGTGACAGGTACCTATTTTCAAGGCCCCCTCGACAGCCGTATTCCCATTCAGCCTCAGTTGGCAATCGTTTCCCTGCCCAGGTGCAGAATGCCACAGCATCATTCCAGGAGACATGAAGAACTGGATGATCCATTCTGGGGAACAAAATAAATAGGATGAGATCATCAGCAGGACCAGGCAATCTCACAGCCATACAGCACAAGCACTTCATGAAACTCTTTAAAGAGATGGCCCCAAAGGGGTGTGAAGAATTTCACAGTTCAGTGACTGGACAAGGTGTCAGATAACATAGCTTCTTCCCTGTAAAAGTGCAGGCAGACAGCAAGCTGCTGGTAGATGCTACATGTCAAGCGCAGCCAGCAGACAAAACTAAGGAAGAGGTAAAAATTAAGTTCTGTTTGTCTGATCATGCTTTTATGAACAGCCCTGTACAGTTCACAAAGACATCTGTAGTTTACACAAAGGCTCCCATCTTTCCTTTGGTTTGGTTCCAGGATTGCCCTTACAATCCCAGAAGACGACAGGACCAACGCCCAGTCATTCTCGTCACAAGGATCCTCCTCATCCAAGGCTCTAATAGACAAGATACTTCAAGAGCCAAGAGTACTGGTCCAGAAGACAGATAACCGAGGACATCCTGTTAACTGTCTTTCCCACCTCATTTAATGAGCCAGCATATGCCCATCGGTCCATGAGGCTCCCTCCATGTGGCAAGCTCACCAGCAGTTGCGCTAGGCTGGGCTTGCACCATACTTCTACAAGACTAGATTTACATGGCGGGTTTCCAGCTCTCTTCTGCGGACTGTGACCTAAATTTATCTGTCTCCCCCTAACAACGCCTCCTGATATTATCTCTATTTTTGCCTCAGATAATTCTTTCATTGCCCTTGGAGAACAGACAATGGACTTGTTACTAAGCAGTTCAGCCATCAGATGATGTTACGCTAACATAACCCTGTCCTTAGAGGACTCAAAAACATGCCAGCGTCTACTAGATCTAGGCTAGAGAGTCTGACTTTATTTCACACAGCAGTTTTGAAACTTTAACTAGTTGAGGCAGCTAGTGCCAACTTCATCAACAGCAGCCAAGCGAGAGAAAGTTGCAGTGTAAGAGGTCTCAAATGAAGACCATCCAAGTAAGCATGCAGTAACACACAACTGAACAATGCCTTTCAACACGTGCAATCCAGGGCTTGTTCTGCAGTATCCATAAAAAGCACCTGAAAATAATGAAGCCTTTTGATTTTCTAGGCATAAAATGAATTCCACTTCTGAACTGAAACAGAGATCATATAAAGACATTCATCAAGTTTCAGGGCTCATGCTAGCAAAGCACAGCACTAACTATAGGCTAAGGAAAAATACGGTTTTCCACAGCATTTAGAGCTTCTAGATAACAGTCATAACTGATTTTCCACAAGAGTCAGCCTACAAAGTCAGAATAAAGTAAAAAAAAAGCACAAAGCTCTTCAGTCATCTGCTGCCAGAGAGACAGACCTCCAAATCCCAGACAGAGGACACACTACTGGACTCCTAGAGTATGCACGCAGTGAGTGTTTAGCCTTCTTCTCCAAAACCAGATCTGCACTCAAGGGTCTAAAGTTGCTGATCCTCTAAAGACCTACTCTGTTTCACTGCTGATATACAAACATGAATAGAAAACACACTGAAGCACATTTCAGTACGGTCTCTTTCCCCTTGGGTGGAAAGTGCTTATGGACCTTTTCGAAATACCACTACGCCATTGACCGTAAAACCACTGCAGCAAACTAGTGTGAAAATAGTCACAGAAGCAGCAGCAGGCAGATGATTAATTAACACCCCCCCGCCTTGCACCTCCATCCAGGGTGCAAGTTTACCAGTGTATTTACAAGCACTGTGTATTATAACTGAATGGCCATTTGTGGCTTACCTGTTGGAGATAGTAGAGTCAGGACCCTCGGGATGCTTCCAGTTGGCTCCCTTCACAGGCAACCACCAGGGAGCTGCTGCAACCTGAAAAGGGACAAGAACGGCCAGGGAAGACGACTTCAATCCCCAGCTAAAGGCTGTTGTGGAAAACCACCATGGGACAACAGGCTGCAAAGCTTTCACTCAGGGCTCATGGCTCTGCCTGCAGCCAGCTGACCTATTATTCTAACAAACCAAGATGATCATTTGATCCACATTACAATACTGCTGGCCAGGGAATAGCCCAAGGGATGGAACAGCACAAAGAAAATACCCAAACACCCAAAAAACAGGGGAGAGAGAGAGAGGGAGACCAAGTCCTGAGCGTACTTTTCTCAAGCGCTGCCCTCTGGCTGTCCCTCCTCCCCTCCCACATTTTCTCACCTCCAGGTCTGATACAAGGCAGTTTATTCTCTTTGAAGGCACAGCCTTCAGCACGCTACCTGTGCTGTCCCCTCAGAAATTCTCAGAAATTCTAGGTTATAACTCTTCACCTCAGAGAATGCATGCTGAGAACATTCAGATTGTAATGGATGGAAGCGGTCACCTGGAACGTTAGTTTTACTCGATTCCATTAGAACAGTATGCCCCTAGTACAGTAAAACCAGCACATCTCCTGGCTGACTTCAGTCTGACACATTCTGCAGAGATCATTTAAAAAAAAAAAAAAAAAAAAAAAAAAAAAGACAGTTGGGGCTTAAAGAGAACTTTGATCCCAATTATTTGCTCCCTAGACTCAGTGTTTTGAAATACCTAAACCAAAATGCTGATGACACCCCTTAACTAGGGTCAAAACACACATCTTGAAACACATTTGCTTTCCAGTTAATTAACTCAGTAAGCCGATACTAAATTATTTGCTATCAGCTTCCAGAAGGTGGAGACAGAAGAGCCACAGAAGCGAAGCCTTTTATTATTTTTTTCCAGTTGGTTTGGTGAGCAACGTCAAGCAGAGAAAATACTCTAACAGTGCAGACATCGAGTACTTCTCTCTAAGCAAAAGTCTCAAATTTGGTTCTGCAATGCCAAGGAATTATTCCTGGAATACATTCATTGAGGATTTCTTCTATTACGCATACTTCAAAGCTGAGAAGGTCAGTGCACAGCACGTTTAACTATTCTATTCTGATTCATATTCACTTAGAAATACTTATCTTAATAATGGGGCCTTTCAGAAAATTGAGGCAAAAAAGAACACTTACGCTAACCATCAATAGTGGGTTTATTCCAGCAGCCTGAGTGCTTGCTTCCACAAGACTCCTATTACAGAGATCATTTCCATAATGAACAAAAATCAAAGTAAATAAGACTCCAATGCTTTAGGAGTTAAATCTACCAGCTGGTTAGCCCTAGACCTGGGAGGTCCAGCTGCTGTTCTAATATTGTCCTACAGCACAAGCTTCAGCAGCTTCTGCCCCCCCTGCTGCCCCACAGCTTTCTCTGCTCTAGAGGCGGCAAAGGGAAAAAGCAGAATATTCATTTCTCTTCATCGTGCTTCTAAACCAACTCTGAAGCATTATACACACAGGTAGGAATTGTGCCATGAGTGTTATCCTCTAACTCACCAAAGCCTTCACAGAAAAGTCCAAAAGTCAGTCACTGAAAGCTGGTACTCGGGAGGCAGAGCATCAGCCTGGTCAAACGATTTTAACAGCAGCTTCTAGGAGGAAGCTGCATCCTTCAGCAGTGATGAGCATTTAACACGTAATTACATGTGTGTGTGAGAAAATTATCTATGACAAACATAAGCTGCTAAGAAAGAACTCTGGTCCAAATTACACATCAGAGCCCTCATTTGAA